CACACACACACACACACACACACACACACACACACACACACACACACGTGGGTATTAAGGGCTTAGCTGTGCCACGATAGAGTCCTGTGGCCCAACAGATGCTGTCGATCCAAGGTCATTGGATTTCTGCATGTGCACTGTGGCCAGAGGAGCGTGATTCTCTCACGCGACAAGGACGAAAACAAAAAGGCCGCACACAACATATTTACAGTTTTGTTGTCTGCTATCGGCATTCAACATTGTCCCATCTCAAAGCAATATCATCATCGACTGAAGGGTAAACGTTGAAGGACGGGAGAGGAGGGTTTTATTATTAAAATGGGCTCAAACATTTGAAGTGGTAATGTTTCTACCTTCTCCAGATTGACGTCCGCCTCCAATATCTCTTTCAGCGCGTGATGAGGAAGAGAGGCATTGTGGTGCAGGAAGTGGGACAGGGTCTCGTTGTCTTGCAGAAAGTCCTTTAGCTTGAAACCTAGAAAAAAACAAAACATACATAGATAGAAGCAGTGAGTCAATCAAGTCAACTATGGGACACAAAACTCTCTTTGATGAAAAAGATGTCTGTATCTGATGGTTGATATGAAACCAGGACTCGCGGCAGTGTTCCCAGCTTGATATACAATAACATTCCATTTATTTGACACTATAGAGTTGGGCTGTGATCCATTTTCTCACGCAATGACCTTGTGAAACGAGTTATTAAATATATCATTGAGTACACTTGTAAAGTGACATTCGATAACACATCTACATATATACATATATATATATATATATATATATGATCGCTGATCAACCAGCACAGAACCACACTGTCCTCTGACTGCACTCAAAGTTCTTTTGTACTTTTGCTGCATTCCGAAGAAGTCAACGCATTTCTGATACTGGCATGGTTGTGGGCACACTCACTCACACACTCACACACTCTCACACTCTCACACACACACACAGCTCTCTTCTCCTCAGCTTTGAGTTTTGCACACCCGGGTTACTACAGGGCGTTTAACTTTGGTCCAGATACCGCGCCCCAGTCTTTCCATCTCGCTCTCTCTAACTCTCTTCTTTCATAAATGTTCACCTTTTACCTACTTATCTCTACCCAGAGCCGATTCTTACACGCTTCCTCTCCATCAATAAGTGGTGCCTGAACATGTCCAAAACTATGGGTGAATCAGCTCTACTTAAGAGGAGTCAGGCGGAGACAACAGCAATAAATCTTGCAGCCTGCGGGCTCATATTTTTGGTTCAACAGTGCTGTCTTTATCTGTTGTGTAACTGCACATGCGAGCGTGGCTTGATAAATCAAACTTGAAAAGTGATTATTTCTCACTCTAAAGAAGTTCACGCATTCTTTTAATGCACTGGGTTATCGGCATGCTCATTACAAAGAATGAAAGAGTACTGCTCTGCTCTTCTCTACTCTGTTCACACATTTAAAACAAATGCAGAGTTGAACTTTGATTGCTTATTTCAAAATATCTTCCTTCCCCCCCCCACCGTCCCTCTTGGTTGTCCTTCCCTTCATCTCCAGTAAATCTGTCTTTTAAAGCCATCATATGACCCACACACAGACGCACACAAACAGGAAACACTCTGCTTCTACTGACCTGAACTTCCCCTGGGAGGAAGTGAAAGAGAACAGTGTGTTCCCATACTCCCTCCATGGCTGTGCACCAGAGTGTGTGCTTTTTTTGAGTTCGAGGTGTGATCCTTACCGTCCCTGCTCTCCATGTGCATGTGTGTGTAATTGTGCACCTGTGCAACTCTCAGGGGTGAACGATCAGGGAGCGCTAATACGTTCTAATCAGAGTCCCAGTAGGTCACAGCTCCCATGGTGCATTGCATCCAAAAGGCCCTCGAGGACGGAACAGACCGGATGGAAAGTCAAGCAGTACTTTGTGCAGTCAGCAACAGTGCGTCTTTGTGTTCCGTTTCCTTGCGTTGCCTTATCTGTGTTTGTCTGTGTTTAAACTGTCCTGAGTGGTTTAAATACCCGGAGTTATCAAGAACAGGGTGCTTTTCTGAAGTAGGACAACATAAGAAGGAACAAACACGGCTTGTTTTTCCTATGTCGGAGTCATCTGTATACAAGGGCGAGCCCTGCATCGACACTTGTCTGTGCTTGCTCCTGACAGTGCCGCATCTGGTTCATATTTGACAATACACACACTTAGCAACCAGTGACTTCATTCGTCGCACTGGTCCATAAACAGGCTGCGATCTCCGTGGAACCACATATTATCCCAAATCTACCCCAGCTTGGCTAACAAGCACAGAGTAGCATTCCTGAATCCCAAGAAGTCTGATCAAGGAAAACAAATAATGGATGGAATTCTGACAGCAGTGAGTGGAATCATCCCACAAAAGGTGTGGACTGTTAAAAGTGCTGCTTTGAGACAGTTGGAGGAGCAATAGCTTGCTGGGTTGCATCTGAGCCTGTCTGAGCGTGTGTGAGAGAATCAGAGCCGAAATGTCTGCAAGGTGACGTTATTGCTCACTTCCACAAGGTGCTATTTAAGTGCGAGACTGGTCAGGTTGGAGAAATGAGGTCAAACTAAATGTTGAGCGCGCCATTTTGGGCTGAAGTTTAGAGTTAAGGTGATGAGGAACGAATCCAATGAATGTATTCATACATTCAAGGAAAATAAAAGGGTAGCACCATCTCCATTTTAAAAGATTAGGCTCAGACACAATGAGCCTTTGGATCAAATGGAGTCCTTTAAAAAAGGAGCCAGACAGAAATGTGAGATGTTTTCCTCTATTATGCAAATCAGGCTTCAGGCTCCATTTTGAGAAGGCAGGTGGTAAGGTAAGAAAGAAATCTGTGGTGTATGAAAAGCTCAGCATTGACAGTCACACTCAACTTTATCTCTCAAATCATTTATCTATTTGGTATTAAGAACAACATTCTCATGTCCAAAATGCTGCACGATGTTGATTTTCTTCCTCTCATCTATCTGCCATGTCATCCTGTACTGTCTCATAAAGCAGGACTGCATCAGACCTCGTCAAAAGAGTATGTGCTGTGTGATTTATCTTGTTATCCTATGGGGGGGGGGAAAGCTCACCCCTCTCCCTTACCCTTCAGTGTAAATTCTCTGACCACGCCAGATGCTGAATTATTAAGTGACATGTGAGGGGTCTCTGTTCTCGGCTCTTAGATCTCTGCCGTTGTTCCCGTAGTGTCCCCTCTGCAGCTTTCTCCTGCATCACACACATGACTGTCCCTGTGCTACGTCGGCGCATTGCCTCACGTGGGTTCAAGAGGGGAATATGGGATTGAGCATGACGCTGTGCATTTATAAAATCAATCGTGATGGAGTGCACAGACGTGCTGTTACAATAATGAAAGCGTCAGAGTAGATAACATGACGAGATATTACTGTCATTGAGGAGTACATCCCATGCCACACAGTCAAACTGAGGAACGTGTGAAAAACATTTTTTACAATTAAAAGTGAATAGAACCCATTTAATTTTATTTTGCTCTGATGTGTGATCCCTCTCCTTTTTCCCAGCCATGCTATGCTATGCTATGCTATGCAATGCAATGCTATGCTAGGGAGGGCCATTGCATAACGTAGTGTAGCTCAGGACTAGTAAAGCAGACTGAAGCCCAAACAACAAGAACCTTGATTGTTTTGCTTCGTTGCATAATTTCTGATGGTACATTCTGGTCAATTTAAACTTACATTAGGGTCTGATGTGGAACCAAGCTAATACCCCTTTATTTATGGAAACTAACTGATATTGCTGTAGCAAAGCCACAATAATGGAACGAACCGGTCTAATTAGACTCACTCATTTCACTACACGTGTGTAAAGCCCTTTGTTGTGTTATTAGCCTCCCTTTCATACAATTAATGGGTTTTCAGTACATGTTTTATTTTATTTTTGTCCTGGTTGCCTTTGTACACATTGTCGGCTGAAAAACAGAGATTGCTCCCAGCGTGCCTCCCGTTAATGCGTTTGTGTGAAATAAAGTAAGTGCAGTTTCAACAAGGCCCCCTTTCCTACGTTCAGGTTGCTTTGCCGGAGTCACCAACAACATGCTATTTTAGAAAGACGGCCTTGCTCTGCTCCCAAAAAGCCAAGGTCATGGTTATAAATACCTCCCTCCTCCTTTTTCAAAAGCTTCTTCTACAAAACCCTGAGCATTAAATGTGAGGTCATGATTGAATGTGTCGGTATAAGTGACAGCAGACACACGTCTCTGACCGCTTCCTCGTTGACAGGAAGCGGCGACATTCTAGGGCAGAGCAACTCCACCTTTCCTACCAGATCTGTGCTCTGATTGTGTAATGGCTGTCTGGGTGGTCCACAATTTTCGGCTTGTCCTGTCTTGCACCAGAACGGAGAAGTACAACACCCACTGGCTTCTGGGAGAGGGGCCCACCACCGGCTGGCAGGCGGTGATAAGGAAGGGACGCGTTAGAGCTCTGAACACTTGTCTGAAGACTTTTGAGCTAGCATCAGCTGCTACGCTGCGAAAGCGGCCTTGACAATTCGCTTTATCTAGTTCTAACATGTCGCTAATCCGTTTTTGGGCAATTTATTAATGTGCAGTGATTCAAGCTTCATTCACTTTGTACTAATTGAGTGGCATGCCTCACTCTCTCTTTTTAATCTAAACACTGAAAAGTTACAGTGACGTTGTAAACTGGAGGTGTGAGTCACTCACTCAGTTAAATCCTATCTGCATCATGTGCAGTTGTGTAGGAGTGTTCCCTTCTGTTTCAATGGATGAATGGGTGGTCAACGTGAATAGGCGGGTTGACTGAAGATCACCAGTTGGTCATTCAAAAACTATAATTAAAATGAAAAAGGTGTGTCCTTACGAGCAGTGTTCTTCTGCAGATTCCTGAGGGCCCTCAGCAGTCCCTTGTAGCCCTCGTAGCTTTTATCATTCTGCGTGTAGAGCAGGATCTTCTTGGCATCAGTGAAGAGACGGGAGATTCTGGAGATGTTCCAGGAGAGAGGCAAAAGTCAGACACACTGTTTCACATCTCTCGAGAATGCCAGGCCTTCTAAAAGAATACATCTTGTGACCGATTTAGAAATATTGTCCTAATAATGATAATATGAATACAAAGTGACACGAAACTATTTTTCCTTTGCACTAAGTGAATACTTTGTTACTCACATAGAATCGTTGAAATTCCCCACCACCCCGGGACTCTCGCCTGGGGTAGGGTTACGGAAGCAGGGGTTGTTGGCATTGCAGATGATGCCTTGTACCCAGGGCAGGGCCCCCGCTGAGGGCATGGCCTTGTTTGGGAAATGGCCTGCAAAGGAGAGGGAGAGCATACAATTTATACGATTAGTTTTATATCTGGACTTCAATATCAATAAAACAGAAAAACTGGTCTAAATGGAACCTTCCAGACAAACTTATTTATTCATACTTTATATTTATACTTGAAAAAGTAGTTAGTTTATTATTTATTAGTTGTTAAATCACAATAAAAGGATTTCCAACTCATAACCAAGGCATGCTATGACGGCGACAAGGAGGTCAGGAGTTGGAGTTTACTGGGTTATCTGGGTTCAAGCTAACCCTTGTGATATATTTGTTATCAATGATTTTGTAACGAATAGGGGGAACCGGTTCGGTGGACGACGATCCACATGCAAGCTCATAGTAATTACATAACTATGTACAGACTGAAGACTGTCAAACCCATCTGAAGAAATGAACTACACATAACCATAGCTGAAAAACTGTTGCAGGAAACTTCCCGAAATTGAACAAAAAACTTAAAATGCAGACTGGATTTCTTTGTTCGTGCTTCTGACCAGCGATAATCATATTGAGTTGAAACATGGTCAAAGTTATGAAACGACCAATTTCAGGAACTAAAGGTCCTATTACTTCTTTACACAGTGCAAACAAACGTTGGCAAATCCGACTGATCTTTATGTGACAATAACATGGAAACCTTGGATGTCCAACATGTTGATCTAACCGAGAGGAAACAAATAAATAATGGCTACAAATAGAGAATGGCAGAACAGTTGAATAACAGACTAATACTCATCAGAAGCAGTTAAAAAACAAAATCACAAAAAAAAGCTGAATTCTTGTGTTAGATGTGAATTAAGTGAAAAATATTATCTGTCAAGTAACTCCCTTCCTCTCTCCCTGTCTGCTTACATTCATGTTGCTCGTAGGGAGGATAATGTATCCGGACTGAGATCAGGATGAGGAAGATGAACAGGGGCCAGACGATCTCAATCAGCAGCTGGATCTAAGAGAGGAAGGCAAAAAGGATGAGGACAAAAGTTAATCAGGGAAATAGAAGAAGGCCTGGGAAACAAAAACATGTGAATCAAATGCGTTAATCACCCCCGAAAATAGTGACAAGTTGTCCTTTGTGCTTTGCAGTTTTTGCGTATTTTCCATTCATCTCTGCTGCTTTAAAATAAGTGGTGTGTGTGTGTGTGTGTGTGTGTAGGGGGCTGTCAGCTGTTGTCCTTTGTAAACAGTAATCCCACCATGGGTTTGGGTAAAGTATATGGGTTAATAAGGGGAGACAGAGCGAGAGGTCTGCCGGGTTTAGAGGACTATGCCCATCTGTTCCATATGGCCCCTCTACTTCAGCTGCCTGTTCCTCAGCCTGAACCAGCATGGCAGGAATAAAGACACCGTCTTAGAAAGCGCACTGTATCCCTTTGTTGGAAACAATTGGACTCAATGTCAAGCAGCCACAGCCGTCACTTTGAGGAGGAGTTTCCGCTCGATGGTCGACTGGCTCAATTGTATGCAAGATGAGCTTCCTCACATATAAAGGGGCGTCTATATGCCACAGCCTGGAAGTGAACTTTGATTTACATAACTTTGAGTGTCATCCAGCACAAGATCATTGACTGGACAATGCATCAGACATGTGATGAGATGTGTCATCTCCAAATCTTTGACTGACTCACTGTCGTCGGTAAACTGTAATGCTTTCAGTCCAAGTGACTCGGAGGAGAATTACATCACTTCCATTGTTGTGGGCTGCGTACCCATTGGAACATGCATATTTATGAGGAAAGACTCAGACCTCGACTGGGGAAATCACCTCTGATCTAAAGTCGATCCGTTAGAAATGTGACCGAGACGAAGCATTCAGGGGGAATCAGACAAGAGATTAGATGCCCCTCCGTGGTGCTTTTTCTTATTTTGGGAGAATATGTAATAATGTATGTGATGTTGACACTTTTGAAAGGAAAATTTAAAAGTAAAATGTTCAGGTTTTCTTTTTGGATCTTAAATTAAATGGAATAAACAAAAAAAACACAGCATGGATGAGGGAAAAACTGTTTTAGGAAAAAATGTTAAGGAATAGAAAGAAAAAAAGATATATATATATACATCATTATATAAACCAATAGATAAGACAAATGATCAATTAATGGACTGTGTCCTTGTACTGTGTGCTCATCCAGTCCATTGACTATGATGAGTCAGTCATTTGAAGCACTCCTACTTACAGTCTGTCTCCGTCGGTAAGTGAAGTTCTTCCAAAGCAGTAAACCCAGTTGAGTGGAGACCGACATTTTGACGTCTTCCCAACCTCACTGAGCACGCTCCAGCTCCTCACTGGGAACCCCAAAAAAAGACAGAGAGAGAGAGAGAGAGAGAGAGAGAGAGAGAGAGAGAGAGAGAGA